CACGCGCACGCGCACGCACACGCAGGCACGCGCACGCGCACGCACGCGCACGCAGGCACGCGCACGCAGGCACGCGCACGCGCACGCAGGCACGCGCACGCACACGCGCACGCGCATGCACCCGCACCTGCACGGGCGCGGGCACGCCCACGCGCACGTGCACGCCCACGCGCACACCGAAACATGCGTGCGAGCTCCCGCATGCGCATGCACGCACGCACGCAGGCGGCCTGGCGCACAGGAGCTTGAGCATGTAGGCGTGCAGGCATTCAGGCACGGAGGTACGCAGGCGGCACGCACGCAGGCGCGCATTCACGCATGCAAGCAGGCTGGCAGGCTGTCAGGATGGCGAGCAGGAAGGCAGGCATGCGAGCACGCGCGTGCGCGCTGCACATGCCGGGCGCATGCCCATATGCCCCCGCCCCCGCGCCGGATCGCACGCCCGCCCGTCTGAGCGCACTTATGCCCGCATGCTCGCATGCCCACTTGCCCAGCTGGCGCTCATGCAAGCATGCACGGGCACACGCACACACAGGCGCGAACACGTGAAAAGCACAAAACAAAGACACGCAATCAGATTTCAACACGTGAAAAGCACAAAACAAAGACACGCAATCAGATTTCATATTGCTGTGCAGCCTGGCCTTGCCCTCTAGGTGAGTGACGAGGCCTGAATGACCCAGTGGGCTTGGGTTGCTGCAATCTTCGATGCATTTGTGTCCAGGAGGCTGTGCCTGACAGCACAGTGCTCAGCCGAGATTACAAGCGGTGAGTGGGACATGTGCACACATCAGGCTGGGAGACTAGCGCTGAGACAAAGGCCACGCTTGCAATTCAATTTCAGAGAAGCTGCCAGAACCTCAGGCCAGCCCTGCTCCTCCGGTCTTGGGTTTCCGCCTGCCTCCGCCCGGGACTGCGACGAGCGCCACGGAGTCGCGAGCGGGAGCGTCTCTCGCGCAGGACTGTGACCAGGTCTTTGCCGCAGGCGCTCGTGCCGTCTCGTGCCGCGTGCGCTTGTCACGTCGGATCTGGTCCCAGGCCTCCTGGCAGGCCCTTCACGGGGAGGCTCGGGTTGGCTCGGGACGAATTCTGAGGCAATGTCCGCTCAATGAGGATTGCCCTTTAAGCCTTAAGAGGCCCTCTAAGGTGAGAACGGTGCCTGCTCTGTACATGACTTCATGGATCTCGGTCCTGCACAATGCGTCAGTCCCCTGTCTATGGAACTTGCTCACCGTCAGGAGGAGCCGTTGGTTGAACCACCTGCAATGCCCTCTTCGCCTCCGCCCGATCAACCGAAGGAACACCACGACTTTCCTGCCCGCGGCTTGGAGGTTTGGACAATCTGACTCTTTGGCTCTGGGAATGTTTGCTTCCATTCCTGGTTGTCGAGGCATCTGCCTTCGCCAAGTTTTTGCAGCGCGTGGGAGATTGGAAGGACCGGCACATCACTTGTGGAGACATGATTTTGCTCAACCGGAGGAGCCAGCGGCGACAGAGGAACACAGGCGGCTTTCCCAAACGCGGCCGCGGCATGCAGCTTTCTGACCTTCCCAGGATGGAGAGTGACGAGACTCCGGAGATGTCTCAGGACGTAAACCAGGCTGCCCAGGTTGACCAGGCGGAGGGCCATGGTGATGCGGCCGTGGAGGTTCCTGATGAGGCGGGAATGGCACATGATTGGTTCACTGGGGCAACCTACACACCGAAACACACCACACACACAGACACACAGACCTTGCACACACAAAGCAGAGTTGTAACCTGAGATTTTGTGGGACCTTCAGTGCCCCGGACAGGCTCAGCTTGCGCCTGTTGCTACGGAGGCCAGGCGTTGGGGCACAGGTGCACAAAGTTCGGCGCGTCGCCCTCTCACGCGAGGGCTCGGCCCTCTCCAAGTTCCTGAAGCGGATTGGCACGGCTCCAGCGACTTGGAGAGAGGCCTTCAGTGGCGGGCTGGGCGGGCCGGGCCAGCTGCGGGGGGGGACGCAGCGGGACAGTTGGAAGCCAAGTGCCAAGGAGCCGGCGGCGGCCACGGCGGCCACGGCGGCCACCGCGGCCACCGCGGCCACCGCGGCCACCGCGGCCACCGCAGCCACGGCCACTGTGGCGGCAGCCGCGCAGCCAGCACTGGCAGCGGAGGAAGTTGAGGCGGCAGAGACGGAGATGGCGGAGACGGCGGAGACGGCGGAGCCTCCGGAGGCCCGGTGGCCGAGTGTTTCAGCTGAACATATGCCGAAGATGCTAGGCCCGACCGATGGTTCGACCTCCCTTGCATCCGCTCGCGGCACCTGCACAGGCACGGTTGGCTTGGATGGGCCTTGGACATTTTCCTGCTCAGGTGGGTGGCTTCAGCAAGTTCTTCCAGAGGATTTCTGGACACGCAGCTCAAGAAGATCACAAAGAGGATGTCACTCAGAGTCGTAGGCCAGTTGACCTGCCAGACCGCCTGCTTGGGGCAGGACAAAGACCTCAAGGATAGAATCAAGGTTGCTGAGAGGGAGGCAAGCGTCGCTTGCTTGATGCTCCATGTTGTTTGGGTGGGTCATCTTCAGGAATTGAAAGATGCAAAGACTCCAGCAGAGGCAAAACCGGTTGATGAGGACGAGAGAATACAAGAGGCCTTGTTGATGATTGTCGAATCTAAGTGTCACGCTGGAGTGGGGAGGTGCACAAGCTTGATCAGAAGTTTGTCAGCTTGGTGCTGGGGAAGAAACAATCTTTGGCTGAACAGTCCGTTGCCTAGAATCCGAGAGCAGTGCTCAGAGCAGTTCTGAGAGCAGTTCTGAGAGCAGTTCTGAGCATGGCGTATGAGCGTATGAGGTCTGGCGCATCAATTGAGATTGACCAGAACCTTCCAGCGGGAATGCCCCGGATGGTGATTTATAGAGGGACCAAGAAGCAGGCAGCTTGGGCCAATGTTGCTCATTTCTCCCTCTCCGGATCGTTTGCAGGTCACCACAGCAAAGAGGCTGCTGGATGGAGTAGTGCAGAAGGAGGAGAAGGCAGAAAAGGAGGAGAGGGCCACAGCGGCTGTCGTCCGTGAAAAGGCAGGGTCGTTGCTGACTTGAGCCTGAAGCCGTGCTTGATGCAGCATCATGGGCCCAAGGACGAAAAGCGGACAGAAGATGGCAGGACGGGTGCCAGGTCTTAACTCGCAGCTTTGCCACGTCCCGTTCAGGACTGATCTGCCGCTGTGGCGGCGGGGGAAGCCGGGCGAGGCCTGGACACGTGACCGGCATGGACATGGACTCCATGTGCAGGAGGAGAAGCCGCCAGAGCGGAGGCGCAAGGAGTGGAACAAGCCCAAGGCGAGCCGGCAAGCCCCGCATCCCGCCGTCCGGTTCGCGCCGGACTTCCCGCGCCGTCCCGCCGTGCGGTCAGGAGATTGAAGCAGCGCCCAGCGGCTCTTTGACCGGGTCCCTGACTGCCGCAGCAAGTATGCGGCCTGCATGGATGAGACCCAAGGTGCGCCCAGAATTGGTCGTGAGCGGGAGCAAGAGTCCTGAGCAGGAGCCCGATGAATCCAAATTCTCCGATAAGTGGCCACCTCAGTTCATGCGTTCAGGTTTGCTTCCTGCAGTGATAAGCAAGGTCGGTGTGGTCTGAGCAGAAATATTCACGAAGCCTATTTCTCCAAGCCAAGCAGAAGATCCTCAAGATGAAGGCGTATGAGGCGCGTTCGAGTCTGCGGCGTATGCGTTCTGATCCGTCGACTTTTGACTTCAGGTGCCTGAGGAGATGATGACCATGACGACCGGCCCTCGTCCAAAGTATAGGCTCCGGTTTCAGCCATTGGTAGACCATGCACAGCATCGAATCACTGTCCCCAAGCGTATGGTTTCGAAGACCGTAGCCAAAGCAAAGTGCGCATTTGGCAATTCAGCATGCTGCTGTCAACGGGCATGGTTCGTATGGAGTGAGTGAGTTTGTGTTGGCATTCGGCCATGAGCTTTACACTGTGCGAGCCACTGGGCTTTTGAGCACATCTAAAGTGGGATTTGTTCACAACAAAGCATAGCATTCCGGAATGCGTTGACAAGGACATGAACGCCTTTGTCTTTTGCGTCGCTGTTGCAATCTTGGTCACTATGAATGCAGAATGCAGAACTCATATGAACAACAAAGGCCCGTCAATGTGATTGCCAGCCCTCTCCGCACTTGCTTGCCGTTCCAGAGAGAGCCTGGCACAGAAGTGCATGCACCGAATGGCACCGAGCAGGAAAGAGAATGACGAGGACGATGAAGAAAGAAGAGAACGAAGAAGAAAGGCCTTCGGGCCTTCGTGTCTTCGGGCCTTCGGGCCTTCGGGCCTACGACTATTCACACGGCCAGGCGAAAGAAGCCAAGGAGGCAACTGCAGCTTGCGCTCTCCGAGATACCTCGTGTCTCGTGTCTAAGCAAATCCGTCAACTAAGTCGATGTGCTTCGACGTGCAATGTGCCGCTTGTCGCGTCAACTCGTGTCATTTTGTGCTGTCTTTGGGTGTTCCGTGTGTTGCCTTTCTGTAGCTTGTGTATTATGTCATTCTTGTACTAAGTTTGTTTGTCTCATGTCGTTCTTTTCTGTCTATACATCGCTTTGCATCCTCTTGGAATATGTTGGTATAGCTTCTGGCACCCATAGCGCTATTACTGTCTGAAGCGGTTTACATGTCTTTGTGTTGGCTAGCGTCATCTCGAATGATCTTGCCTTACGTGTCATTTACGCATCTCGTGCTCGGCACGTTCGTTCTGTCATTTGGGTCTTGCAAAGCCTCGGGTGGCATTTTGGCCGGGCACTCCACGCGGTACCTTGTACCAGAGATGGGGGATCGGGCGGTGCCGGAAGTGTGCGACTGGGATATGGCACTGCGAGAACGAAGCTGGGAGACATTGCAGCGCGCACGGGGCCGCCGGTGGGTGGAGGGTGAAGGTTCCAGAATTCTTCGTGGGTTCCATGGAGCTGTTTGCAGCGGTTCCGGGCTACAGCTTTGCTGTCGGGGATGCCAATTGAAAACATGTAATACTTATGCTTACGAAAGTCTTCTTGTCTTGTGTCGCCTCATGCCGGCGCTCCTGTCTCTGTTGTCTTGCCATTTCTTCTCTTGCGAGCCTTTCATGCAGCCATGAGGCGGAGCGAGCTCGTCTGCAGCTTGAGCAGAGCGAGCAACCTGAGCCCCTTGAGAGTGAGCAGCAGCACCGCGATCGCCGTGAGCACGAGCGCGAGCCTGACAAGACAGAGGCGCGGAGAGTCAAACAAGCCATTTGTTTTGCAGGGTTGTCCGGGTTGTCCAATCTAAGGTGAAGCATCAGCCAAAGGTGAAGGCTGAGGACTGCGGTGCAGTTGAATGCCTCGGAAGTCACAGTCTGCTTCATTCATCCTTGTGTCAGCATTTTTACTCTGCCGTGTGCCTGGAAGTTCACTGCAATCTACTGACAAATTGAGATTGTCAGCTCTAGATTCCCAAAGATCTTGAATGCGCGGCAATCTCCCTCAACGCAGCCATGCAAACTCAGGTGCAGCCCTTTGAGTTTCATTTTGCTGCTTCTGTTGTTTTGGCCCTTGCACTAACGATTCTTCACGTTTGCTTTGGCGGCGTCTTTGCTTTTGACTGGAACCTGAGGTTGTTAGGGTTTAGGCTTCAGGTTCTCCGCATTGGAGAAGAGGTCCATTCCGGCGAAGCCTACAGTTGTTGATGGTCTCTTGACTCTGGACAGGAGTTGGATTGCTTATTGCTTGCTTTGTGGGATTCCTTCGCCTCTGAAGGGCATGGTCAACTGAACCCTTGGACAAGTTCCACGTTCATTTCCTTTGATTCCAGGTTAGTGTCAAGTATCCACCATCGCACAGAGAACGCATGATGCTTTCATGGGACCTGCGCTTTGCGATGGTATTTGGACTTGCGGTTCCTTTCTGCAGGACGACAACATTTGCCCCAAATGAATAGATATAATATCCCTGAGCTCCTCACGAAGTTGAACCAAGAAGGCTAGATGATGCTATCCACAGCATCTTGACCTATATTCCCTCATCTTGACCTTTATTGGCAGTTGGGCACATTTGACATTCCATCTCCAAGGTTGTCAAGGGTTGCTGACAGGGTCGGGCCAGGCCAGGCCGCGCAACGCGTCCTACGAGAATCTGCCTGGCGACTCTAAGGCAGGGCAGGATCAGATGGGGTGCCTTCTTGTCGCCGAACGAAGGAACTGCTGAAGCTGAAGAAGAAGCTCCGAGAGATCCAGAAGATCGAGGACTCGACTCGAGAGAGACCTAGAGACCTCTCTCTCTCTCTCTCTCTCGAAATGGCGTCAGGATGCCATGGCTGCCGGGGAGACTGTCGAACCCCTGCAAGCCGAGAAGGTGAACAAGAAGGCGAAGCGGCGAAGCACGTCTTCGCGCTTTTGGCTTTCGCTGCGAGAGCGTAGGAGGCGTACCTGGATGAGCTCCGCTTCCTTGAGTCCATCCAACCAGGTCGCCGAGCCGAGCGATTTGCCTCGAGCATATTTGCGCGCAGGTGAACTTGGCTGAGAGCGTTTGCCTCGATACGGAAGTGCACTGGCGCATGGCCCGGTGCAGGGCTTTTGGGGCACCGATTCGGGGCTCATAAGATTACCAGAGCCGGCGAAGCCGGTGGGCGGAAGTTTCAAACATATACAAACTGTAGTTCTCTTTCTCTTTCTTTTCTTGACTCTTTTTCTCTTCTTCTTCCTTTTCATTGTTTCTTTTTTCTCAGTCATTCTTCCTTTCTTCCTTTCTTTCCTTCCTTCCTCCCTTATTTCCTTCTTTCTATCTGTCTTTTCTTTCTTTCTTTCGTTTGCTTGCTTTGGTGCTGTTCTTTCTTTTGTCTCTTCTCTGTCTATCTATCTGTCTATCTATCTGTCTATCTATCTATCTATCTATCTTTCTCGACCTATCTATCTACCTAACTACCTATCTATCTATCTCTCGTGTTAGCTATCTATCTATCTATCTATCTATCTCTCTATCTATCTTTCTTTCTTTCTTTCTTTCTATCTGTCTATCTCTCTATCTATATATCTCTCTATCTCTCTATCTCTCTATCTCTTTTTCTTTCTATCCATCTATCTCTCTATCCCTCTATCTCTCTTTCTCTCTATCTGTCAATCTATCTAGCTATCTACCTCTCTATCTATCTATCTATCTATCTATCTATCTATCTATCTTTCTTTGTCTCTATCCATCTACCTATCTACCTATCTACATATCTATCTATCTATCTATCTATCTACCTATCTATCTATCTATCTATCTATCTCTCTATCTCTCTATATCTCTATTTATTTATCCATTTATTTCTCTATCTATCTATCTATCTATCTACCTATCTATCTATTTGTCTATCTATCTTCTGTTTGTTTAACTATCTATCTGTTTATCTCTCTATCTATCTCTCTATCCCTCTTTCTTTCTATCTATCTATCTCTCTATCTCTCTTTCTTTCTTTCTTTCTTTCTATCTGTCTCTCTATCTCTCTCTCTCTATCTCTTTCTATCTATCTGTCTCTCCATCTATCTCCCGCGCATCTATCTATCTATCTATCTATCTATCTATCTATCTATCTATCTATCTATCTATCTATCTATCTATCTATCTATCTCTCTATCTCTCTATCTATCTATCTATCCATCTATCTATCTATCTATCTATCTATCTGTCTCTCTATCTGTCTATGTCTCTATCTATCTATCTATCTATCTATCTATCTATCTCTCTATCTCTCTTTGTATCCCTCTATATATATCTATCTATCTATGCATCTATCTCTCTATCTCTCTCTCTCTCTCTATCTATCTATCTATCTGTCTATCTCTCTATCTTGTATCTCTCTATCTACCTTTCTTTCTATTTCTTTATCTATCCATCTCTTTATCTGTCTCTCTATCTCTCGCTCTCGCTCTCTCTGTACCTATCTATCTATGTACCTCTGTATCTATCTATCTATCTATCTATTTACCAATCTATCTATTTCTCTATCCATCTACCTATCTATCTCTCTTTCTATCCATATATTTGACTCTCTCTCTCTCTATCTATCCATTTGTCTATCTATCTATCTGTTTGTTTACCTATCTATCTATGTATCTCTGTATCTATCTCTCTATCTATCTATGTATTTATTTATCTCTCTATCTACCTATCTATTTATTTATCTATATTTCTATCTCTCTCTCTCTATCTCTATCTATCTATCTATCTCTTTTTCTCTATCTATTTATCTATCTCTTTATCCTATCTCTGTCTATCTATCTATCTATGTCGCTCTCTGTCTCTATCTATCTATCCATCTTTTCTCTCTCGCTCTCTCATCTATCTATCTATCTCACTCTCTCTCTCTCTCTATGTCTCTTTCTATCTATCACTCTAGCTATCTCTCTATCTGTCTTTCGATGTATCTATCTATCCGTCTATATCTGCACTTAAAAGTTGCAATTTTCAAGCCACCGAAAGTTGACTGCGCGTACTACTTTTGTACTTAAAAGTTGCGTACTACTTTCGTACTTAAAAGTCGTGATTTTCCAGAAGCTGCGCAAGTGGACTTCACGTACTACTTCCGTACTTAAAAGTTGCGATTTTCGAGCCCCGGCTGCGAAAGTGTGACTTCGCGTACTACTTTCGTACTTAAAAGTTGCGATTTTCGAGCCCCGGCTGCGAAAGTGTGACTTCACGTACTACTTTCGTACTTAAAAGTTGCGATTTTCAAGCCCCAGCTGCGAAAGTGGACTTCACGTTCTTTCGTACTTAAAAGTTGCGACCCTCGAGCCCCGGCTACGAAAGTTGACTTCGCGAAAGTGCTGCGCGTGCCACGAAATCTTTACTTGACCTTGCGAAAGTGCTGAACCTGCAACGAATTCTGTACATGACCTTGCGAAAGTGCTGCGCCTGTCACTAAATCTGTACCTGACCCGTCGAAAGTGTTGCACCTGCCACGAATTCTGCGCTTGACCTTGCGAAAGTGCTGCGCCTGCCACGAAACCTGTGCCTGACCTTTCGAAAGTGCTGCGCCTGCCACGAAATATATACCTGACCTTTCGAAAGTGCTGCGCCTGCCACGAAATATCTACCTGACCTTTCGAAAGTGCTGCGCCTGCCACGCAATTCAAAGTTAGGGAAAACTTGACCTTGCGACAGTGCCGCGCCTGCCACGAAATCTGCGCCCGACCTTGCCAAAATGCTGCGCCTGCCACGCAACACAAACCTTGCGACACCTCTGTGTTGCCGTGCCAACGGGCCCGGCGCCGAACGTGATCCGAGCATGCTCCGAGCATGCTCCGAGCCCGCTCCGACCAGGCGCCGCGAACAGGCTAGCTTTCGCAACCCCGGAGACGTCAATTCACGCACAGGGCCACGCTTTTTGCGACTTTCTTATCTTCGAAAACGCCGATTCACGCACAGGGCTACGCTTTTTACGACTTTCTCTTCCCCTGCCACACGCGTGCGCATTTTTTCTCGATCCATCTCTCTCTCTCTTTCTCTTTCGCTCTCTCTCTCTCTCTCTCGCTCTCTCTCTCTCCATCTATCTCTCGTGTATCTATCTATCTCTCGACCTATCTATCTATCTATCTTTTTCTCTATCTATCTTTCTATCTTTCTATCTATCTATCTTTCGCTCTTTATCTCTCTATCTCTCTATCTATCTATCCATCTATCTCTCTAACTATCTACTTTCTATCTAATCTATTTATCTATTTATCTATTTATTTATCTATCTATCTATCTATCTGTACCTAAACTTGCGAAAGTGCTGTGCCTGCCACGAACTCTGTACTTGACCTAGCGAAAGTGCTGCGCCTGCCACGCAATTCAAACCTTGCGAACCTCTGCGTTGCCGTGCCAACGGGCCCGGCGCCGACCCCGCTCCGAGCCCGCTCCGAGCCCGCTCCGACCGCTCCGACCAGACGCCGCGGACAGGCTAGCTTTCGCATCTCCGGAGACGCCGATTCGCGCACAGGGCCACCGCTTTTTGCGACTTTCTCTTCCCCTGCCACGCGCGCGCGCGCATTTTGTCTTGCGGGCTTATTCCTTCTCTTGTCATTTGTCTCAGAGAGCTAGCTTTCCATTAGTTGCCGTAACACGGAAGTTCCTTCTAAACTTCTTTTCACAAAGAGGGGATGTTTTCAGATTTGAGCAAATGGCATTGGTGAGCACTCCCGCGTGCCAGCGCTCGCACTTCGCAGTTGCGAGCGAACGCGTTCGCTTTGGAAGGCCGAGGCGCGGCCCTCGCCGAGCGCCGAGCGCCGAGCTCGCGAGTCCGGCGACAGTTAATGGATGCCTCTGAGACTCAGAGAGCCATCACTCTATCCAAAATCTTAGCCTTGTTTGGAGTGGTGCGCAGGCATTTCAAAATTTCCCGTGTTCACCGCATTCGCTTTTTGTTTGACTGCTGTTGGGTACGTTGTTGGATGTGGCCCCTACCTGCTGGTCGGAGTTCTTCGAGCGGCACAAAATAGAGGTGCACGGCAGATCCAAAGACCCACAGACGCCACGTAGAGTTGGCATCGGATATGCAGATATGTGGCATGACCTGTGCATAGTGAAACAGCAGCCGCTAGCCAGCATAAAGGAGTGGTCCACAGGACAGGCAAGCATGGTTGGCAGATTTGTTTGGCTCCGCAACAGACTGACAGTCATAGTTTGAGAAAAATGAGCCACTTCTACTTCATATATTGCCTCTCAAAGTGGGAATTGCTTTGCCCGAACGGATGTAGAGTCACTGCATACAGATGACGGCAGGTGGGGAACACAATCACACGGCCCAGCTGCAACAGAGCATTTGGCCAGGCCCAAAGCCCGACGATGCGAGCGAGGCGCGTTGTGTGCCGTGTCCATTGATTGGAATGTTTAGAACCGGTTTGCTGTTTTTTTTCTTCCGGTTTTTGTGCGTTAATATGCATCCCCGAGACGGTGGCCCAACGGCTGGTCTCCTTTGCTGCTGGCTGCTTGGGCACACGTCTCAGTCGCTAGGACTTGGAAGGCTCGGAAGGCTCGGAAGTTTTGGCAGACTTGGCAGGCACGACGACACCTGCAAAGACCGGCAGCCGGCTCGGCGTGATGGGCAGCGTCTCTGAGGCGTCAAGCTCCTTTCGATCCGCGCCTTCGACAAATCGAACAGGCGGAGTTGCAGGAAATCCTGTGCCACATCGAGGACGCGAAAATTGGCGGAGAAATCTCGCTCGAGTTCTCGCTTAGGTGCTGGCCAAGCAGCGAGCTGCCGGGATTGCCGCACACTGGGACACTCGGGGACACTGGGTCGGGTGGGTCGGGTGCGTTCGTCAGCCAGCCAGCTGAGGTTGGCCGTCCGCCTTCCCCGGAGTTCGGATCTCCGATTCGCTTTTTATCAGAACTCGTTCTGCCTTCCCTCCCAGGAGAGGCAGCGAGGAGTTCATGAAAGCCTTGGGGGAGGCGAGCGGGAAGTTTGCTCACTTTGGGACTGAGCTGATCAAGCATGGCCGACCCTCTCATCTTGTACTGACAATGGCCAAGGATCCATAGGCTAAGCAGCATTCCAGGCCACAGCTGCTCCTAAAAGCGGACGTTTGGGGCTGAAGATCAGGGTATCAACACGAGAGCACCTTTAGCATGTGAGACACATGTGCTGTGGTGCTCAACCACGCTTAGCCGCTTTGCATTGAGCCCACTGATTCCAGGCCTGTGGAGTGGATGCGGATCGCATCCACCTATACCTGCCCAAAGACCCCATGGGTAAAGTGGACCTGATTCAGATGTTCAGGCCGTCGCTTTCCCGTCGCTTTCGATCGGCTTCCCGAGGGGTTTCCGACCTTCCGACCTTCCGACCTTCCGACCGTCGGTCAGGATGGATGGCAAGGCCGGGCCCGTGGCCTCGGAAAGCGGCGCCTCGCGTCGCTGAGGCCTCGCCCCGGCCCAGCCCCAGCCTTGCCAGTGCGAATGTGACCGAGTCACCGAGTCACCGAGTCACCGAGTCACCGAGTCACCGAGTCACCGAGTCGCTAGGCGAAGGGATCACAGAGTTCGTGGATTGTCCCTCGGACCCGAATTTCTTCGAATGTTGCAGAGAGCTGAGTGCTGAGAGGTCTGAGAGAAGGAGTGAGACAACTTGGGTATGGCTCAAAATTAAAAAGCTAGGGTTACACAGGCTTGAGTCTTTGGTTCCATTTACCAAGGTGCCATTTTGGTACATTTTTGTGAGCCACAGCCATTTGTTTCTACCAGATGCGACCAGATCGCAGGATCTACCTCGCTGCGTGTTTGAAGGCTTGGAGCTCGCAGAAGAGGCCTTGAACATGGCTTGCCCCGAGAGCCTTCGGCGACTCGCATCGGTCAGGTGGACGAGGGCGAGTGGTTGAAAGACGCCGCGGCCATCAACAGTCTGCGCTCCGACCTGGCCTTAGCTCATCCTTTTCTACGCGGGCTCGAGACATGTATGCAGAATAGGAGAAACAAGGTGCAAGTCGGGGCACGGCGTCTTCGAGTTTTGGTAAATTGGGTCAGGTCAGTGGCTACACCGAAAAGTGGATCGGTGGAAAATTCGCTGGCGAACCGAACGGGGCCGCGCGCAGTACGTGGCAGAGACATGTTTCCTATTGTCCGCGTTGAGTGGCGCGCAAGGGCGCGAAACGGCGCGAACCGAGAAACGGAACGCCGCGAGGCGCTCGTAAGGTGTGGCCATGTGTAGCCTATTGGGGGAAGGCCCATCGAGCTGGCGCACAGCGCCAGCCTGGCGTGGCGTGGAAGGCGTTGCGACGGGAGAAGAGCGTCAAGCGCTGGCGCGGAAATCGGTGAAGACAACCCGACCATGGGATTGACTGGCGCGGAAGCCCAAGCCATAGCCGTTGGCGAAGACCAGAACACTCAGATCCGGCTCAGGATGGCCGAGATCAGTAGCAGCAACATCAACCGAGAGAACACCCATTTACGATGAGATCCGTCAGCACCACAAACTGACCTTGGCAGTCAATCGTGAACGGCAAGCTGGAACTCAGTTCAGACGTCGGCTGGTGCACGATGGAAGTTTGAGGCTGGACGACCCCTTGTGCGAAAAGGCCAGGAGTGTTGGGGGACGCAGTCCAGCTAACAACAACCCTAGTCATGCCAAAACACTGGACCTTTACTACTCCACAACAGCACAAGCTCGAGACATCTCGCCGGAATAGGAAACAAACAAGGTGCGAGCCTTGCGGAGGCGACAAGACGGTCTATAGGACCTGTAGCTAGGTCAGCGTGCAGGTATCTTAGGTCATGGCCAAGTGAAGCTGGCCGAGGCAATATGCAACCAAGAGCTTCCTGAGGCGTGCGAGTCGTGAAAACTCAAAGCCAAAACTGAAACGACACAGCAGGTGCCTGTTGCTTGGCTGCTCTCGCTGGCCCGACGCTGCAGGTGCGCAGACAAAGTCTTTGTGTAACGAGTGGCCACCGGACTTCGTTGGAAGGAGTAGAAGACCTGCCCTCTGCAAGACCGCTTTGAGGGCGTTGGCCGAGCTGGCTGATAGAGGCCTTCGGAGTTGTAGTCTGTGCGCCTACTCTTGCCACTGGAATTTTGCAGGTGGCCCCTGCATCCCTGCTGCCAGGGAGATCGTTTCCGCATGCTTGGCTGCCATGCAGTTGACCAAGGCGCAGCGTGAAAGACCAACGCTGGGCTGTTCGGCTCAAGTCAGGTCGCCGCCAAGGTGGCGGAGGAGACACTCCAGGCGGTGTGCCGCTCTGAACCCAGCATCTCCGCATGCGCCCGGCGTGGTTGACGACGGGCGCAAGCCCGCGACTTGTAGGCCGCTTGGAGGAGGCGGAGGCCGCGACTTTGCAGATCTTGGCCGCCAGCGAGGCGCGTTGACTCGTGACCCACGACCCGCGACCCACGACTCGCGACTAGCGACTTGCGACTCGCTGCGCTTCGAGCCGCAGGCGAAGCATCCGGTTTGTGCAGTGGCGCTGCTTCGAGCCATGGCCTGGCAGCCTAGAAGATGTGGCAAACAGCCAGCGATTTCAGAAGCGCCTCAGGGCTCACTTGCGCTCGAACGCCAAAGTGCCAGCCTGAGTCATCCTGGACAGAACACGCAATTGAGCTCAAGCCAGGTGAGGGTTCAATCACCGCGGCGGCCACGTTCTGCGAGGCTGGCCTCCTTTCCCAGCAGCATGTGCGTGTGTAGTCACAGGACGTTCTCCAGAATCGCCGCCTGTCACCAGCCTTTTCGGAGGCCTTTTTGTCCAAGTTTTCGGCCTGAGATTTTCGTGTTTTCGTTCGACGGGCTTGGTAGTGCGGCAATGCGAGGCCCGAGCGGTGCTTCGTCGACTCAGAGGGGGCACCTGAGTACCCGGGGTTTGAGGAAAGAGAATTCGCAACACGGAGCCTGCAATGAGAGCAATGAGAAATGGATTTGTAAGTTTGCAATGGCTTCTGACAAGGCCTCGTGGGCGCCTTCACCTTTACGTTTGTCCCGATTTCTGTTGAGTGGTGTACTCTGAAAGTTGAAAGGGTGCCCACTTGCCACGTGGGGCTTCTGCAGCCATTTGCCATACTTTGCAACTGTTATTCTGATTTGGGGTGCATGGCTACCCAAGAGGTTTTGCAGAGGGCTTAGTAATTGTTGCGGAGGGTTGTTCATGCGACTTCGTGTCATTTGCCCCAGACGAGGCGTGCTGACTTGCAATCCATCACCAGTCTGCCTGCAGTGTCGTTTGCCGCTCGATTGTGTATGTCCCGTTTTGTCAACTTAAAGCTGCAATGTCAAAATCCAGCTTGCATCAACCCTAAACCAACTCAAGCCCGCCAGAAACCCACCCTAGACGCACCCTCGAAGCCCTCAAGCAGCCAGACACCCAACCAAACTCTATCTATCAGTTTGACCACGGCGCGCACTTTTTCGGAAGTTCCGGAAATCAGCCAAAAGCCAAAGGCGGAAATCCATTCCTCATCACACCCGAATCAGCCCATCCTAAGTCAACTTAAAGCCCACCGAAGCCAATCCTGAAAACCCGCTGCACTTCCAGCGTGAGTGACAAACTTGTCTGCCATGACATCCTGCATTGGTTCCTGCTCCTCACGGTGGTTTTCCCGGCATGGGCACGCCCGACGCTGTGCCCACCGGATGTAGAACGGGCGCCTTTGAGCACCCCAGCCAACTCTGGGCATTGAAAATCAGAGAATGATCACTTTGGACTCAGGTTATGAGTTGGCGGCATACAACTTGACCATGAATGGATCGTCAGGAATGATCTACATCCAAGGGATGACAGCGCCCAGAGATGCCTTCAGCTTGCAATGCGAAGTTAGGGCATTGTTTGTCTCGCCCCCTGCGAAGCCCTGCACGCACCCCACTTGCTCGGAACGTTTGGCCCAAGATGATTTGGATGCAACCACCGAAATCAAAGCTACGGTGACATGCGAAGAGCAACGCATTGCAGAAGGCTCCGCACATTGAAGCACCAGCCATAACCATAGATGAGCACGAGCTGAAGATGGCAACTGCGTGCTGCTCCTACTGCTCCAAAGCATCTAAATGTTTGCCCGGGCTGGGGATGACTGAGGCTCTACACTCCGACCTTTCAGTCGCCCGCAGCTCAAGACGAGCCATTTGCCTCGGATCGATTCTGCGGCAGGTACGGAGCTTCGCCCCATTCGCCATGTCTGGGCCTTGGCCTCGGCGGCCTCGGCCTCGGCAGCTTCGGAAGTGAAAAATATCTCGGCCTCGAGGCTCGGAATCTCCCCGCAGACTGCCATGAGCTTTCGAGCCGATTTCAGCCCGGGTGCAATTCGTGTCCCCCAGGTATGAGCCAGCACGGCCACCAGGCAAAGTCAACTGGCAATCGAACTTGTTTTGCATTGCCGGGAGATCCGGGAGGTCCGGATCTGACACCAACGCATCTAAAGTGGCCTGGACGCAACTTTGAACATGGTTTGATGCAAGCATGCCATGTCCCGGCAGGCAACCCATGCGGCCTGAGGCCAGCTGAGTAGTATCCGAGTTTGCCCATGGCGTGAAGCTGAGGCAATGGGTATGCGCCCTGGGCAGCCCAGCTGCAATTTCCCAGAAGGTTAACAAGTTGAGAGATGGGCTCGTTTCAAGTTTCGGAGACTTTTCTTTGAGCCGAGTTCGAATCATTCGAGTTCAGGACGGAGGCCGCTGCGCCCCAGGCCGCCCAGGCCGCCCAGGCCGCCCAGGCGAAGGTCCAGGCAGAGGGTGGTTGGTGAAACCGCCGCGGAGGCGACCGGATGGCAGCTGAGCAGCCAGGCAGCGAGCTTCGTCCGACACAGGCGAGACGGCGGGACCGGCCGAGCTTCCAGAATCCAAAGCATGCAAAGCATGGATCCAAAGAAAAAACCAAAGGATCCAAAGGATCCAAAGGATCCAAAGGATCCAAAGGATCCAAAGGATCCAAAGGATCCAAAGGACTAGAGAAAGGACTGAGGGATTGAGTCGATCGAGTCGATCGAGTCGATTGAGTCGATGCAGGCAGCGCTTCGTGCAGTACATGCAGTCCGAGAGTCTCTTCGCCATGCCGATGCCGAGCATATTCCGTCCACAGGTTTGGGTCTCAGAGTGTCCATTCCGAAGCAAGCTGGGGCACAGGTCTTGCGCTCCCCGGGAGGCAGGGGACCGTCGAATGCTGCTTCTTTCTTGAATGTGGGGTTTGCTCCGCATTTGTGGGCTGCAATGCTAGGTGTCAGTGCGGCCTTGAGCCCAGTGGAAAGCTCGAACATCCATTTCAGTGGCAAGACCACGCAGAGAGAGAGAGAGCGAGAGAGAGAAGTGGGCGCTGCATGTGCCGAGCCTAGGTTCCCAGAAAGCTGTCGCCCTCGAAAGAGAACCAGGATGAGGCCAACGCCGATGATCTCCGAATGGAGTCCTCACTCGCATCGCAGGATGTGTGCGATGAGGGGAGTCCTTGGCTGGACTTGCAGAAGGGTCTGGCCTCCACGTGGCAATCCTTGATGACCTCGATGGATGCCAAGACCCTAGAGCGTGAGCGGCCTAGCGCTCCTCCCGCCAACTTCAGGCTTTGTCTGGCAACTGGTGCATGTACGACGCAGCTTGGCAGCTTTCACGACTTTGGGTGCAATAGTTGACACTCACAGGCAGTTGCTTGAATCCTTGGTATCTTCCAAGGTCACCAACGGGCTTGCAACTCCTTTAGGCTGTTATCCACCCTCGGAGTGCAAACAGGTGGAGCTAGCATCATTCCAAGCCAGTCTCTCGCACGAGGTGTTTGTGTCTGCTTGTTCTTGTTTTTCTATCCATTTTCCGGCACCTTGGCAACTCGGACAACAATCATGCAACAAATGTAATGTATTCGTTCAAACAAATCAGGGCGCTCTGCCAGACAGCTTTCTTGTCTGGAGCCGCTCGTGGTACGTGGGGAAAGATGCACCTCCACTTTTGCGTCTGCCGCTTCAGTGGTATGACAGCTTTGGGCATTTTGGAAGGCCTTGAACCTTTGCTGGTTCGTGTTCCATGAGACTTCAATCAAAATTTTGATTGGGGTGCACCACCCCGATTGGCTTTATCTTGAGAGATCCCAAGATGCATCTGATTTAAGGACGGAGACTTCGGTGCAAAACGCAGAATGCGGTGCCCTGGCAAAGACGCCCCTCTTGGCAGCTTCGCCGTTTTGGAGCGTGGCTGAGGCTCGGGCTGAGTGTCTCGGAGTTCGATGACCTGTGGCCCTGCGCTTGGTGACGGGCAGACCCGGCCGGCCTTGGCTCGAGCTGAGGTTTGTCCGAACCTCACCCACCATCCGTCCAGACACACCGGGAGGGCAGCCAAGTCCTTGCGTGGCTGCGGCGCCGCTTGGGGTGGGGCCCTTTGCAAGCGCGATCTCAGCCACTTTGCTGATTGCTTTGAGGTCGACGTTCGACCCGTGCAATCCGTTCAAGTTGCGCAAGGTGTGCAATCTGCCCAGCAAGGCCTTGAACGACCCGCTTGGTTGTGCGTTCGATGCGTTCGATGCATTCATTGTGATCTGTGAGCCTGATGTGCTTTAAGGCCGCGGATAGCGACAAATCTTGGCATGGCAGGTCCACCACTGAAGGCCTTGCCCCTGGCACAGGTGAATCAGGCACGCCTCGCATGCGGCATAAGTACCTACTCCTCTAGCGCTCCTCTAGTGCTCCTCTATTGCTCCTCTAGTGATCCTAGTCTCCCACATTCCTCTCTAGTGATCTTCCAGTGGCCCCTGTAGTGCTCCTCTAGTATTGCCCTCCTGCGGCACTTGACGAGTGCATCTTTTCTAGGATCTTCATCATCCAGTCTTCCTCTAAACACTCCTCACTGCTCACTGCTGTTAAAACGCTCCTCCACAGTTCCTCTAGTGCTTCGTTGGCTCCAACCCCAAGTGCGGCTCTAGTACTCTTTCAGCAGCTGGCCACAACCTTTGAAAAAGCTACAAAAATGCTAACTTGCGGCCACACCCAATAACAGCTTCTCCTCCAGTAATCCTAAACGTGCTCCTCGAGTACTCATCCAGTGATCCTCTGCTGCTCCTCTAGTGCTCTTCTGGTGCTGCTCCTCTACTGCGGTGCCAGCACTTCTGCACGGCTCCTCTAGTGCCTCTCCTTGCTCCAGTCGTACTCTTCCAGTGGTCCCTCCAGCGCCCCTCTTCTTTCCTCGAGTGCAGCTAGCCACAGCCTTCTTTCTCCACAAGCCTTGCTCTATTCCTCTATCCCACCCCAATCACCTTGAACCAGCCCTAGACCAACTTTAAACCAATCCTCGACCAACCCTAAGCCAACCCCCGGAACCAGCCCGAAGCCAACCCGAAAGTCTCTAGTGCTCTTCTAGGGATGCTACTCGACTGCTCCTTTACTGCTGTTACAACGCTCCTCCACTGCTCCTCTACTAGCTCTCCAACCCGAAACAAGCCTAAACCCTAAACCAACCCTAAACCAACCCTAAACCAACCCTAAACCAACCCTAAACCAACCCTAAACCAACCCTAAACCAACCCTAAACCAACCCTCAACCAGCCCTAAACCAACCAACCCTAACCCACCCTAAACCCCCCCTTGACCAGAGGGCGCCGGAGCACTAGAGGAGCACTAGAGGTGCACTAGAGGTGCAATAGACCCAAAACGGGAGAACGACCCAGAAATGATGCCAAAGCGGGAAAACCGCGGACAAGGTCCCGTTACCCTCGCATGCCAGTTTCGGCGCACATCGCAAAGCATCTTTTGCACTTGGCTGCTGCAGCATAGAGAAGAGCAATTGTTGCCTTCCAATCTGCGAGATACTCCGCGTGAGCCGCTCCTCCATTGTCTCGCTGAAGGGTAACAAATCTACAGCTCCGAACCAGGAGAGCACAGAGCAGAGCCGAGCTTTCGTGTCTTTTCACCCTTGCAAGTTGTGACTCTAGCTTTGAATTTGTTTGTACATCTTCCTTGTTATTGAGATCCGACACGTGACTCACTTGGCTCACGAGACTCCTCATGGTTTTTCTTGAGGGTCTTTGAAATCAGCAGAGGAAAGATTCACCCCTGCCCCCCAACCAACCTGTATCATTTATCCATTTGTGTTGGCTCGGCAGGAGCTTTCCATTTTGCACCACCTTGCATCATGTTGCATCATTTTTCACCCCCGGTGGCTTTGTAGGACAGAGCAGCGCTTGCCAGTCTGGGTGGTGCAGATCTACTGACCGTTTGCGACGGCCATGGTGAGGCTTTGGCATACGCGGCATGTGCGGTTGCAGTCGACTTTAGCCGCAAGACTTGGGTGGAGCGTCATTTGAAAGCTTCTGGAACTGCAGGTTGGCCATGACGTGGCAGAGATTTGTATAGAGGTGCCAGTCTCAGCATCGACTTCCGAGTTGCCTCCTTGGGTTCACTCGAGAGCACGTCGCCTTGACTTTGTGCAGGTCCTTCCTCGACTGGTGTTGCAGCAGGTGAGCAAATTAGAGAACAACATGTCGCCCGCAGGACTCGCACAGAGTTCTGACAGTTTGCTCGTAACGTTCGCTCCAGGAGTGCCGGGAAAGGAATCCCGGAATCCGCAGGAGGCATGCGTAATTGCGTCGGGTGTGCGGGGCTGGGGTGTGGGCGGACTTCTGTCGGGGTTAGGCCGCTGCCGCAGTCGGCGATGTGTGGCGAGAGGCCGTTTGGCGGGATTCATTGGATCTGATTCGATCGAATTCGGTCCGATTCGGTCCGATTCGGTCCGATTCGGTCCGATTCCGCAGGCCACGTGCCAAGCTTTTGAAGAGATGCACCGGATGCTGGAGGCACCCGGCCCAGTCCCGACAAAACCCGACCCGATCCGGGACTGCCAGGCCCTGACCGCTGACGAGGCTGGGACAGAACGGATCCTATCTTGTCCTGCAAGCTGAGGAGGGACCACCAGGTTTGGTTGAGTCTTGACATTTTCAGCCTTTACCTTTGAGTCTTCTCTTGCCGCTTTACTGTGCTTGTTAGCTTCCTGCCTTCGTCATGTTCCTGTTCTCCGCATCTCCTTTCTTTCTTTTTGCCTTGATTTCTTTGTTGCTCGCTAGTTCTTTTTCATTGTTCTGTTTTTGTTTCCTTTTGTGTTCTTCCTTTCTTCCTTCCGTTCTTCATTCCTTTCGTGATATGCATGTGTATATATATATATATATATATGCTATCCCCCCCCCAAAGATCGACCATTTTCTGTGTTTTGAGAAAGATGTGGTGCATTATTGCAAGAAACAGATGTGCATATGCTGGGGTCGACATTCAAGTGCAGTGTTGTTGAGGACGGTTGCAAAATTGCGCACCTGCCAGGGCTGCAACACTGCAAGCCCCTGGCAACCTGAAGTTTCAAAACTTCAAGAGTTTCCAAGACACTGCCCAATCAAAGCTGCCAAACTACAGACCTGGCAACGCAAGTCTGCTAAACTGCAGGCACTGCAGGCCTTGGTTGCAAAGCAGACTTGGCAGGGCTTCAGCTCTGCAAGGCTTTGCAAAACTGCAACCCCTACCAACCTGCCAAAGCACTGCCCAAGCAAAGGTGCCAAACTACAGACCTGGCAAGGTTGCAAAATTGCCAACCTGCAAGGTTCCAACACTGTAGGGCCAGCTCCAACACTGCAAGACTTTCCAAGCAAGTCTGCTAAACTGCAGGGCCCTGGCAAGGTTGCAAAATTGCCAACCTGCAAGGGCTCCAACACTGCAGGGTTGCAAAACTACAGCCCTTGCCAACCTTGCCAACCTGCCAAAGTTTCAACACTGCAGGCTTCCCACTTGCTGCAAGGTCTGCCAAACTACAAATAAGGCTGCAAAATCCAAACTGCAAGCCTCCAACACTGCAGGCACACCCAACTGCAAGGCTTTTCAAGCCTGCCAAGCAGCCTGCTAAACTGCAGAGCAAGGTTGCTTGCTAACTCAACACTGCAAGACTTCCCAAGCAAGGCTGCCAAACTACAGACCTGGAGGTTGCAAAATTGCCAATCCAATCTGCAACCAACTGCACCAACACTGAACTACAGACAAGCGAGTTCAAACAGAAGTTCCAACACAGGCCTGTTTGCAAAACAAACTTGGAGCTCTGTCTGCCAAAGCTCCCACACTGCAAGGAAGGCTTGAAACTTGGTTGCTGGCCCAGCAAAACATTCAGCTCAAAACTGCAACCCACTTGGCGCCTCACCTGCCAAAGTTTCAACACTGCAGGCTTCCCTGCTGCCCTGGCAAGGCTGCCAAACTACAGGCAAGCAAGGCATTTCCAACAAGAGTTCCAACACTGCAGGCCTTGGTTTCCATACAGACCTGGCAGGGCTGCAAAACTGCAGCTCTGTACGCCAAAGCTCCAACACTGCAAGGAAGATGCTCAGGGGCGAAGGGCAAGAAACCCATGAAGCTGCAAAAACCTCGACGAAATCAAAAAACAAAAAAATCAAAAAAATCAAGGCCTTGAGAGAGATAGTCACTGGGTCTGGGCATTCTGTTCCAGGACCCTGTTTTTTTTTGGTTTTTTTTGATTTCTTCGAGGTTTGTTCACTTTCCGAGATTCTGACCTGGGCATTCTCTCCCAGGACCCTTATTTTTGGATTTTTTTTCATTTCTTCGGGTTTTTTCAACATGTTCATCCTGCGCAGCCAAAAGTCAGATGCAAGATGAAGTTGGGAAGCCAGAAGCCCAAGACCTTGCAGATTCTGGGATGTGTCACCAGGGATAAAACACAGAAAGCGGTCGATCTTTGGAGGGGGGATACCACATATATATATATATATATGTATCTCATATAATGTATGTGTATATATATATATATATCTAAATCTATCTCTCTCCCTCTTGTCTACTTTTCCTCTTGTCTCCTGTGAAAACATTGACGCTCGTCTCGTTTGGCAGCTTTCGGAGGCATCGCAACTGGATGCTCGGTCCAGCGGCACAACGGCCACCGTGCTGGCCCTCACGGACCGCAGGAGTCCACGAAGAATGTAATTAAATTGCTAAATGGGGAGCGGAAGAACTGGAGGGAATTTCACCATGGGGCCTTCCCGTCCCCTTCACGTGTGCCTGTGGGCTGCGCTGGGGAGAGATGTTCAGGATCCTCGTGGCCCACGTCGGTGACTCCCGTGCCGTGTTAGGCTGGGACATGCAACTCTGTGCAACTTTGGCTCGCGGACAATGGCAGGTGTGCGGCGTGGCGGGGAATGGATTCCAAGAGATCTCACCAGGCAGGGCCAAGAGGCCAAGAGATCTCAATTTTGCGCACGTGACGTCGCCTGCAGGGACCACAAGCCAGAAGCGCCCGAGGAGAGGGCCCGCATTGAGCAAAGCGGGGCGCAGGCCAGACGTGGCAGTCCCGACCGAATCTGACCACAACATCAGCTCAGGTCATCACAGTCGGGCAGCCTCCCAACTCTACCTGCCGCGTTTATTCGCCGCAGCAGGCTGACAGAGCCATGGGCGTGGGTGAATTGACGTGCTCCATGTGTGAATGCAAACGACAGCCCTGTGCAGGCATGGCCATCCATCAACATGTCGCGATCACTGGGGGACAGGGTTGCCATCTCGTGGGAGTTTGTGAGAGACATGCGTGCAGGACTTGCACGCGCACACCCAGGGCCTGTCAGCGGAGGCTGAGGCCCGGGTCTTGACTTGGCGCAGTGCGGCGCAGTGCCTTGCTTTGAGCGATGATGGCAAGAGGTGAATTGCTTTGAGCGCTCCGACACCACCGAAGCAGTGGGGCTCTGAGCCGCCTTCGTGGCTGTGAGGAGCGTGGCTGTCGTTTATGAGGTGATCATTGTTGGGTCCGACGGCATTTGGGACGTCATGGACAGCAACACTGCGGCTGGGGGCGTAGGGGCGGGGGAAGGGATGTTTTTGCCTCAAGCATTTGCTCTCCCGCACACAAGCACAAGCATGTACACACAGGGACACACACACCGACACGCCCTAACACACACACAGAATCACACAGAAGCACACAGAAACACAGAAGCGCCCAGAAACACAGCAAAAAGCACAGAAAAGCACACAAACAGAAACACACACACACACAGACACAAACGCACAAACACACAACAACACAAACACACAAACACACACACACACACACAACACGCAAACACACAAACACACACAAATACACACAACAACACAAACACACAAACGCACACACACACAACACGCAAACACACAAACACACAAATACACACAAACACACAAGCACACACAAGCACACAAACACACAAACACACAAACACAGAAGCACGCAAACACAAACAAACACACACACACGAACACAAACACACATGCACACACACGCACACACACGCACACACTTAAACTCCCAAGGGAGAAGCTAATCCTTCGAGCACAACTGATGAGTCTCGAGTGGATGGGCTTTTGAGTACAACTGAAATGGCTGCAACTCATGCATGACAACAGGACAATGCAACGCACGCTATGTACACGGAAGTAGTTATCAAAAGGAAAGGTCAATGCAGGTACACAAGAGTGATCAGGTCTTGCTTTCCACTCTCCTCCACAGCTTCGTTGCGTGCGGTAGGATGAGAGTGCCACACGATGGTATATGTATCCCCTGCACTTACCGTATTAGAATGGCGACGGGGTAAATTTGTCGCTCCGCGCACACAGAGGCACACAAACACTCAAACGCACAAGCGCGCAAACACACAAACAAGCACAGAAGCACGCAAGCACACAAACGCATAAAGACATAAACACGCAACACACAAACACGAACACAAACACACATGCACACACACACACACACACACACGCTCATACGCACACACAAACACACACGCTTACTCTCACACTCACACTCGCTCTCACAATGACACACACAAACACAAACACAAACACAAACACAATACACACACACACGCTCACTCTCACACTCACGCTCACAATCACACACACTCATGCTCTCACACACACAAACACAAACACAACACACAAACACAACTCACACACACACACGCACACGCTCACTCTCACACTCACACTCGCACTCACAATCACACTCACACTCACACTCACACACAAACACAAACATCAACACCAACACAAATGTACACACACACACGCCCACGCTCACACTCACACTCACACTCACACGCACACACAACACACACACCCACCGCGCGCGCGCGCCAGCGCAAGCGTGCGCGCACGCGCACGCGCGTAGACAGGCCTTCACACCCGCACACCGGCAGACACTCACGCGCACGCACGCGCGCGCGGACACACACACACACACACACATTGACATGCGCGCGCCCACACGCGCGCGCGCAGAGACACACAGAGAGACATACAGACACACAGACACACATGGACGCACACATGCACACACATGGCGCACGCGCCCTCGAACTCGCGCACGCCCCCACACACACACCCACGCACGCACGCATTGCGCACGTTTGCACGCACGCACGTATGCTTGCTCGCGCGCGCGCGCTCACGCACACGCGCTCGCGCACGCACATGCGCACACACACAGACA